GACCAAACACAGGCAAGAGACAGCAAATGAAGCAAGCAGCACTCACAGCAGCAAGGAATAAATCCAATCCCAGTTGCTAGCAGGCAGCCATTGCCAAGCCAACCCAATGCAAACTCCCTCGCCCTCTGCAGCAAGCTACAGGCCGCGCGGAGCCGCTTTGAAAGGGCTCACCGGCCAATCAAAAAGAGACAGCCACGGACCCATGGTGCACTGCTTGGGAGCGCCGGATTGGCTCCCATGCACCAGCACTCCAGCAGCCTCCACCCCATTAACGAAACGAGCGGAGGCTCGTTAAAACTATGGGGGTTGCTGGTTCGATATTTATAAACCCTTCCGGGTTTGGAAATATGTTTCGATACCGCTTCAGAAATGGTAAAATTAACGAATAATTAACGAATTAACGAATTAACGAACAAAACCGCACAGGCCTAATATTTACATACATATACATACATACACACTTACCCACACCAGAACTTGACAAGGAGGGCCCTGGGAGAACCCATGTTGTGAAGGTAATGTAGAAATGAGATCTTGTCCGCTTGTCCTCAACACTAATACCCATATTATGGTTGGCCTACTAACAGTTGACTTACTCCAACCAGTCATCTTCTTCTTGGTTTGAGGTATCTCAACCCAACAAAACCTGGTGCTGAGCTCATGACAGTTTGGGGCCTAAGATGTTTTGCACACCCAAACATCTGGAGAACTTCCCTGAACAATCCAGGGTTGTTTTTGGTAGGAAGAGTCTAGATTTAGAATTAGAGAAGGAAAAGAGGGCCTCCATCTCCCAGGACATCCATTCAAATTGCACATAGAAACAAATACATAGATACAGATTTGCATGCTCTTGTATCAGTGGAGGTGTAACTCTGGTCTTAGATTTTATTTCAGTGATCAAGAATCTTTCCAAGGTGTAGAACCTGAGATTTTGTATTAACTTTTCTAAGTTTTCTCCAGATGTGGAATAGCACCATCAAAGCCTTAACATCTAGAATTAAATCCAGAACATCCCTGATATGGAAGCTACCAGCTTCCAGTGTACAGGGATTGTGGCAACTAGGAATAGTTTCCAGAAACCTGTTGAGTGGTGCTGAATGAAATTGCTCTGTTTGGGTACTAGTCTCAACGGATGGACCTCAACCTTCATGAAATGGCTCTGTTTAGGTACCAGTATCAATGGATGGACCTCAGAGCCATTTCATGAAGGTTAAGGTCTATCCATTGATACTGGGACCCAAACAGAGCCATTTCATGAAGGTTAAGGTCCATCCATTGATTCTGGTACCCAAACAGAGCCATTTCATGAAGGTTGAGGTCCATCCATTGATTCTGGTACCCAAACAGAGCCATTTCATGAAGGTTGAGGTCCATCCATGGATACTAGTACCCAAACAGAGCCATTTTATGAAGGTTGAGGTCCATCCATTGATAGTGGTACCCAAACAAAGCCATTTCATGAAGGCTGAGGTCCATCAGTTAATACTGGTACCCAAACAGAGCCATTTCATGAAGGTTGAGGTCCATCCATTGATTCTGGTACCCAAACAGAGCCATTTCATGAAGGTTGAGGTCCATCCGTTAATACTGGTACCCAAACAAAGCCATTTTATGAAGGCTGAGGTCCATCAGTTAATACTGGTACCCAAACAAAGCCACTTTATGAAGGTCGACATCCATCCATTGATTCTGGTACCCAAACAGAGCAATTTCATGAAGGTTAAGGTCCATCCATTGATACTAGAATCCAACAGAGCAATTTCATGGTGAGGTCCATTCATTGATACTAGAACCCAAACAGAGCAATTTCATGAAGGTTGAGGTCCATCCATTGATACTAGAACCCAAACAGAGTCATTTCATGAAGGTTAAGGTCCATCCATTGATACTGGTACTCAAACAGAGCCATTTCATGAAGGTTGAGGTCCATCTGTTGATACTGGCACCCAAACATAGCGATTTCATGAAGGTTGAGGTCCATCCATTGAAACTAGTACCCAAACAGAGCCATTTCATGAAGGTTAAGGTCCATCCATTGATACTGGTACCCAAACAGAGCCATTTCATGAAGGTTGAGGTCCATCCGTTGAGACTAGTACCCAAACAAAGCCATTTTATGAAGGTCGACGTCCATCCATTGATACTAGTACCCAAACAGAGCCATTTTATGAAGGTCGACGTCCATCCATTGATTCTGGTACCCAAACAGAGCCATTCCATGAAGGTTGAGGTCCATCTGTTGATACTGGTACCCAAACAGAGCCATTTCATGAAGGTCGACGTCCATCCATTGATTCTGGTACCCAAACAGAGCCATTCCATGAAGGTTGAGGTCCATCTTTTGATTCTGGTACCCAAACAGAGCCATTTCATTAAGGTTAAAGTTCATCCATTGATACTAGAACCCAAACAGAGCAATTTCATGAAGGTTGAGGTCCATCCTTTAATTCTGGTACCCAAACAGAGCCATTTCATGAAGGTTAAGGTCCATCCATTGATACTAGAACCCAAACAGAGCAATTTCATGAAGGTTGAGGTCCATCCATTGATACTAGTACACAAGCAGAGCCATTTCATGAAGGTTGACATCCATCCATTGATACTAGTACCCAAACAGAGCCATTTCATGAAGGTTGAGGTCCATCCATTGATTCTGGTACCCAAACAGAGCCATTTCATGAAAGTTAAGGTCCATCTATTGATACTAGAACCCAAACAGAGCCATTTCATGAAGGTTGACATCCATCCATTGATTCTGGTACCCAAACAAAGCCATTTCATGAAGGCTGAGGTCCATTCATTGATACTGGTACCCAAACAGAGCCATTTCATGAAGGTTGAGGTCCATCCATTGAGACTAGTACCCAAACAGAGACATTTCATGAAGGTTGAGGTCCATCCATTGATACTGGTACCCAAACATAGCCAGCTAACTGGCAAGGATTTAAAAACCATTTCATGGAGTGTCTCTTTTTGTGCATTTTTTATGCAGTCATGTGGACATTGGTTGCATCGGTTGTTCTACTTTCCCCATTGTGGTGCTGTCTTCCATCTGTCTGCCATTCCATTCCTCTTCCTAACTCTGCATTTGGCTAGGTGTGGGTCATTGCAATGCTATAGAAATATTATGATTTTAAGGTGATGCTCTGGTGGAAATTATTGGTCTCTGCATCGTCCTCTTGGATCTGGCCCAACTTAACTCATTTTACCATGAGAGGTGGTGGGTTTCTGGAGCATGAATCTCATGCATTCTGTGCTCTCCTGGCTAGCAATTGATGGCTTCCATAGGGGTGCACAAAATTGCAGAATTCTATTTTGTTTTCATTTCGAATTTCAGGAGGAACTCCAGATCCTGAATTACGAATCTGAACAACCCCCTCCTAATCTCCCGGAACCTTCCCAAAAATAGAACGGGAGATACCTGAAAGTCAAAATGAAAACAGAAGAGATTTTTGCTGTTTTGTCCACCCTTAATATCAATGGGGCAGTGCAACTGGTCTGGGTCTTACTATGGACTCCTAGCCACCTAAAATGTCCAAAAACTGTGATAGGTCAACCAACCTTTGAATGACTTATCCAAGATGCTGAATCCTCCACCTCAATTGGTTTCCTGAGGACAGATCCCAAGTCAACCAACCTCAAAAGGAGCTTTCCAAAGTGTCTTCTCCCCCAAAGAGTTAATAAATCAGCCGAACTTCAATGCAGGTCCCTAAGATTCTGAACCTCCTTTGATACTTTGGACATCTCCTTTGTGGTATGGACTCCAAACCCAAGATTCGGAACCTCCTTTGATACTTTGGACATCTCCTTTGTGGTTCAGACTCAAATACAATGGACATCTCCTTTGTGGTTGGGATTCAAACCCAAGATTCGGAACCTCCTTTGATACTTTGGATATCTCCTTTGTGGTTCAGACTCAAACCCAATATTCTGAACCTCCGTTGATACTTTGAACATCTCCTTTGTGGTTCAAACTCAAATACAATGGACATCCCCTTTGTGGTTCAGACTCAAACCCAATAGAAATTTCCTTTGTGGTTCGGACTCGCACCCAAGATTCTGAACCTCCTTTGATACTTTGGACATCTCCTTTGTGGTTAGGACTCAAACCCAATGGACATCTCCTTTGTGGTTTGGATTCACACCCAAGATTCTGAACCTCCTTTGATACTTTGGACATCTCCTTTGTGGTTCAGATTCAAACCCAATGGACATCTCCTTTGTGGTTCGGACTTAAACCCAATGGACATCTTCTTTGTGGTTCAGACTCAAACCCAAGATTCTGAACATCCTTTGATACTTTGGACATCTCCTTTGTGGTTTGGACTCAAATCCAATGGACATCTCCTTTGTGGTTCAGACTCACACCCAAGAGTCTGAACCTCCTTTGATACTTTGGGCATCTCCTCTGTGGTTTGGACTCAAACCCAATGGACATCTCCTTTGTGGTTCGGACTCAAACCCAATGAACATCTCCTTTGCGGTTTAAACTCAAACCCAAGATTCTGAACCCCCTTTGATACTTTGAACATCTCCTTTGTGGTTTGGACTCAAACCCAAGATGGATTCACTGCCATACTAATATGGAAGCTGCTATTGATTGCCTTGGCCAATCTCCAAGCCAGAAACAAAGCGCAGGGACATACAAGGAACACAATCATTTCCATTTTCTTTTACTACCTGAGATAGCTGAGTGCTGCTACTTAGTTAATGTATTGGCTTCTTCTCCTTCTCTAAAAAAACAACAAAGCAAATTGGAGAAGGGCTTTCAGAGGTCCCCATTGTTACCTCTTGGCAAAGGGCTCCCTTGCAGAAACCAATAAAACCCATTCAAAGCATTATTTTAAGTCTCTCTCCCTCCCCCCATCCCCATTCATCCCTTCCCTCTTCAAAATACAATATGATAAAAGCTGTTGTTTTGGCTGCAGGCCTTCCCAGGCTTGCATTGCTGTCCGTCACGTATGGGGCGCCTCCCAAGTCGATTTTTCTGCTTGCTGCAGACCCTCCTCTTCCGACCGGCACCTCATTCCTGTGGCCTTTGTTTCTGAGAAATGGTTTGAAATCTCCTGCTGACCAGACGAAGTCTATTTTACTTCCTGGGGGCGGGGCAGACGCCATGTGTCTTTTTCCTGGTAGGTACTTTCTCTTCAGCCCTTCTTTTCTCATCCGCGACTTGAGCCTTGAGCTCCCAATCCCAGCCTTGCTGTGATCGTCAACACCTCGTATCCGACATCTAAACAACCTCTCCGAAACTCACCTTATATATAACTCATGTGTAAGTCAACATATGAAGTTGATTTACACATGAACCCAACAGACCTGAGTTGAGTTATCCACTGACCATTGTGAGTCCTTCTCTGCGTCTAGCGGGTCTCATTATATAAGTCGACATGAAGTCAACTTATATAATGAAGTCAATGTATACATGAATTTGACGTATACATGCAGTCAACATATACATGAAGTCAACGTGCACATGAAATCAATGTATACATGAAGTCATCAAACACAAGCTGACTTACACATGAAATCAATGTATACTTGAAGTCATCAAACACAAGTTGACTTACACATGAAATCAATGTATACATGAAGTCATCAAACACATGAAGTTGATTTACACATGAAATCAGTATACAACGTATATATAAGAAGTCAACGTATATATTTGTTTTATACATGCAATCAACGTATACATGAAGTCAATGTATACATGAACAAATCCATGAAGTCAACTCACACATGAAGTCAGCATATACATGAAGGCAATATATACATGAACTTGACTTATACATGCAATCAATGTACACATAAAGTTGACTTATATAAAGAGGTCAACATATATATTAGTTTGTTTTATACATGCAATCAACGTATACATGAAGTCAATGTATACATGAACAAATCCATGAAGTCAACTCACACATGAAGTCAGCATATACATGAAGGCAATATATACATGAACTTGACTTATACATGCAATCAATGTACACATGAAGTCAACTTATATAAAGAAGTCAACGTATATATTAGTTTGTTTTATACATGCAATCAACGTATACATGAAGTCAATGTATACATGAACAAATCCATGAAGTCAACTCACACATGAAGTCAGCATATACATGAAGGCAATATATACATGAATTTGACTTACACATTCAGTCAATGAATACATGAAGTCGACTTACATGTGAAGTTAATGTATACATGAAGTCAATGTATACATGAAGTCATCAAACATATGAAGTTGACTTACACATGAAGTCAGTATACAATTGAAGTTGACTTATATAAAGAAGTCAACGTATATATTCGTTTGATTTATCCATGCAGTCAACATATACATGAAGTCAACATACACATGAAGTCAATGTATACATGAACAAAGACATGAAGTCAGCTTACACATTAAGTCAGCGTACACATGTATACATGAATTTCACTTATACATGCAGTCAACTTACACATGAAGATGACATACATGAAGTCAACATACACATGAAGTCAACATATACATTAATTTGTTTTATACAAGCAGTCAACGAATACATGAAGTCAACATATACATGAATCTGACTTATACATGCAGTCAATGAATACATGAAGTTGACTGAAGGTATTCATGAAGGTATACATATGAAGTAAATGTATACATGAAAATGTATACATGAAGTAATCAAACACATGAAGTTGACTTACACATGAAGTCAGTATACACATGAAGTTGACTTATATAAAGAAGTCAACTATATATTAGTTTTTTCTATACATGCAGTCAACATATCCATGAAGTCAACGTACACATGAAGTCAATGTATACATGAACAAACACATGAAGTCAACTTACACACAAAGTCAGCATACACCTGAAGGCAGTGTATACATGAAGTTGACATACATGCAGTCATTGTCTACATGAAGTTGACTTTTACATGAAGTCAACATACACATGAAGTCAACATATACATGAATTTGATTTATACAAGCAGTCAACGAATACATGAAGTCAACATATACATGAATTTGACTTACACATTCAGTCAATGAGTACATGAAGTCGACTTACATATGAAGTCAGTGTATACATGAGGTCAATGTATACATGAAGTCATCAAACATATGAAGTTGACTTACACATGAAGTCAGTATACACATGAAGTTGACTTATATAAAGAAGTCAACTACATATTAGTTTGTTCTATACATGCAATCAACATATACATGAAGTCAACGTACATATGAAGTCAATGTATACATGAACAAACATGAAGTCAACTTACACACAAAGTCAGCATACACATGAAGGCAGTGTATACATGAATTTGACTTATACATGCAGTCAATGTACACATGAAGTTGACTTTTACATGAAGTCAACATACACATGAAGTCAACATATAGATGAATTTGACTTTATCCATGCAGTCAACGTATACATGAAGCCGACTTCCATATGAAGTCAATGTATACATGATGTCAATGTATCCATGAAGTTGACTTACACAAGAAATCAGCATACACAAGAAGTTGACTTATATAAGGAAGTCAATGTATACATGAAGTCAACTTACACCTGAGTAAGTAATGTAGAGTAAGTAACTTCTCTTGGGCTCCCAAACCCAATGGAAATTCCATTTACCTCCATACTCCGATATACCTTCTTCTCCCCATGCAGCCAATGCCCAGTAGAGATGGTTGAGAGTAAGCCCAAGAGAAGTTACTTACTCTACATTACTTACTCAGGTGTAAGTTGACTTCATGTATACGTTGACTTCCTTATATAAGTCGACTTCTTGTGGGGAGAAGGAAGTGCATTTGGAGAGTGATTGGAACATGCCTGGCATTTTTTTGGGATGGGTTAGACGTTATGGGGGCTCGTCCGGGATATTAGCCTAGGACCTCTCGCATCCAAAGCGAGAGGGTCTAATCAAGAGAAGTTACTTCCATGGAATATTGGCCAATACCTTGCTAGTCTTCACGTTGATCTGGATGTTAATGCCTCGACCTCCTCCATTTTGCAAATATCTTTTGGAGTTGCCCTAGATGCCTATCACAGCAGGGTTGAAATTGGTTGCATGCAAGAGACAGTGTTGGAAGCATGTTTGAGATCTATTGACCTCTTTCTAATGGGTTGCCGTTCCTTTTATATTCTTTGGTTATTACTTTTAATAATTGACTTTGAAACATCTTTTTTCTTGTGGATTTTCCTACCTTCTTGGTATTTGTGGGTTAAAGATGGGTAACAATTAGGGCTGGGTAACCACGGAAAAATTGTTTCTAAACTCGATTCGTTTCCAGGGAGCGCTAGCGTTTCCAAATTCTAAATACTTCCGAAATTTTGAGATTTCAAAGTTTCGTTATTTACGAAATTTCGTTAATTTCGAATCGATTCGTTAATGGCGGACGCGATTGCGCAATATGCTAAAAAAACCCTCCAAATGGGACAGGGGGAACTTCTGAAGCTTCCCTCTCCCTCTGTTGTTGACTGTTGGTGTGAGAAAACAAACAACAACTATAAAACTTGCACCAGACATGCGAAAATAATTACGAAATAATTACGAAAAAAATACGAAATAATAACGAAATAATTACGAAATAAATTGAAAAAATTGTTTCGAATCTAATTTACTCCTCACACTATTCCTGCATGGCTCAATATCGGATCGTAAGCTGATTTATATACGAATTAATAACGAATTACGAAATTAACGAACGAAACCGCCCAGCCCTATTGCCCAACTCAGTATCAGAAGATAGCAATGTTTTTCTACCTTGCTTAGGAAACGTGTGTTACGCAGCGCACAAAAACCCAGATGCAAAATAGTCTCAGACCAGTAGTCAAGGTAAACAGAAAAATTTTACTCTCTTAACTTTGCAGAGATAAAACAAAACTGGCAATGCTTCACACAAAAAACAGCAGTGCAACATATTTACATTAGTCTTTGTAATATGCATAAAATAAAGCATCTTCTAAGCAGCAAATGGAAATCATAACAACCTGAAGTAAATAGCTATTTCACCGTCAGCATCCCTCACTGGTACTCCACACTGGTGAAACAAAACTCCAGCAGCAGCCCACCAAAAACCTCAGTTATAGCCCCTTGGGCGTGGCACAAGATTGCTGCTTGACCTACTTAGTCAGCTGAACAAGATAATTACAAACAATAAGGTTTTTCTTCACACATATACTTGTGTCCTGCAAGGACTTACCGTAACAACATGGCATCTCTCCTAGCTTTCTGTAGTTCCACAAAGCACCCCTTGTTGCAACCCAGAGCAGGAAACTGGACCCTCGGACAACAATCCACCACACTTGACTTCAGGAAAACAATCCTTTTTTTATTGATGAAAGATGAATACAAAATAAAAGAAATATGCAAAGGCAAAAAAGTCACAGAAAAAATCAGGAACAAGAAATGTCCACAAACAAGATCATGAAATCCACAGCAAAACTGCTGAATCCTGGAACCTGTTAGCAATCCACTAACCGTACTTGGAACAACTAGAAAACCTCCGAAGGCCACTTGAATCAGGAGACCTGGAAAAGCTTGCACATGAATCTGGAACGATGCCTGGTCTGAAGCTGCATTCAGAGCAGGCATACTTAAGGCCGAGAAATCTATTGCAAGACACGCTTGAAGATTTTGTTTGCATTTCTCTCAATCTGGCTGACCTACATAAACTTTGTGCTTCACCCCGGCTCTGCCAAATCTTCCCCTGCCCATCCTCATTAGGGAGATCAGGTGTCAGATTCTCTGGAAAACTAAGACTGGGAGGAAAAGGGAGTGAAATGTCTCCACTCGGCTCGGAATGCATGTTCTCATGGGAATTCTGACTTTCACTTTCCAAGGCTGTAGGATTTTCACTACTCAAACCATCATCATCTAAATTGGCCTCAGAATTCACATTGACATCTACATTGGCATCAGGAAATACAATACAATGCTTGTCTGGATTACCTTACAGTTCTTGTGTTCATGGTCTCAGGACTCAGTCATGTTCTCATGGGATTTTGACTTGCTGGTGCCTTTTTGGATCATGCTTCAAAGTGTTGTTTTGTATTGATCTTTTATAACAATATTTTTGCTTTTAAGAACTTTATATCTTTTACTTTTTAATAAACTATAAAGACTTTGGCTGTGTGC